TTCACAAAATTTTTATAATTACCAACTTCCTTTGTCCAAAACACACACAACTCTCAATAAACAACAATCATAATCTTCCAATAACTCCTCATATAATTCAATCACTCAATACTCCAATTATATAATCAATAACTCATAAATAAATCTTTGATTTATTCCATAGAGTCACTTCTCAATATTCAGAAACTATCCATTACTTTTCAACAACAAAGAAAACAAAGAAATAAAGAGACAAAGAGGTAGCACCAAGCTTACCCTGGGTCATGACTATCATAGTTTGGCATCCAACAAACTTCTACAACTCCTATATAATTACTCCTGATTTCTAGATTCTAACAGTAATTCTATAATTAATCACTTTTAATAACTAAATCAATCATCCGTCCTCCTGAACTGACTATTCTATGGACTATTAGTCTATTTTACCAATATCTTATAAAAACAAATTAATATCTATTCTACAATAATCCACTTTAAGAAATAGTGATATGTCATAGATATAGAAAAGAGAACACATTACAAAATTCTATATGGTATTGATATTGATGCACTTACGACAAGGTATGCCAACTTTTATGGAAAGATGCTATAGAGCAAACATGTTTAAAAAAAATCATTACACCACAACAACTATTAGTAAGATTCCTCAACTATTTGAAGCTAACTTCAAGTTGACTTATAAATCTATCAATTAAATCTTAGTAGTGTTATTGTGCTTTAGAACTTTTTAAGATAAAAGTTGGTTCTTTGATTCAAGAGTATCCAGGCACTTTAAGAGAAATATTAAAGTATTTAGTAACCTAAAATTAGTTCAAAATCCTTACATCATAACCTTCATAGGAAGTTAATCTCATATCATTGTATTTTATAGAATTGTTAATATTTACACATCTTTAGGTAAAATTTAATATATATCGAATTTCAAATATTTAAATGGTCTTCACAAAAAATTATTATTTTTGGCAGACTTTCACTATATGGTCCTATTTGTAAAAAATAAAAATTAAAATAAAAAATTATGATTCTCTCTAATAAGAAACCATACTAAATTATAGCAACTAATACCAAAGACATATCAAACAAAATATTCAAGCTCAATACTTCTAAAACACTTTTTTAGTCACTTCCATCCTACTTAAGCAAACTTATAAAACCAAGTCCAAATCATTCTAAAGATAAACTAAAATTACTATTGCTAAAATCCAATTCAATACAAAAAGACAAAAAATTATTATATCTTTGGAACTGTAAGATAGGATATGTTAGCTACCTATGATTTAACAACCTCATTAGAAAGTTTAAACTATTTTATGACATTCAAGAATGACTAATTTTAGAAACCATGAATCTATTTCATATACATCAAAGACCAAATATTTAATAAATTTGTACAGTTCAAAATCATGATCAAAATATACATCCTACATAATTTGGATTTTATGCTCAAATTACAAGGGAGAATTTTTATCAAAATATTTTAGCAATTACCTATGTATTGGAGGCATTATTAGACAACTGACCAATGTTCATACATTACACCTAAACAGTGTAGCTAAAAGAAATAATAGATCCATCCTAAACAAAATTAGGAGTATGCTTATATGGAAGTAAGTACCAAAATATCTCTAAACCAAACGAGCATAAATAACCATCTGTCTCATCAATTCCTCTTCTATAACCATCTTTTCACCTTTATGGATAGTCGATGAAGGATACATGACAAGATTGAGAAAGCTATCAAAACTATCACCATCGCTAGCAAATTATTTTATAGACAATTTAGACCTATCTTATGAACAATCTTTGAAGAAGTAGCCTATCACTAATCATGGAGATTTTCCATGTAAAAAGAAATGATTTTAAATTTGAAAAAAAAAACACACATACAAGTTAATAAACTTGCTAATAAAAAAAAGTTCTAATATAAAAAAAAATAGATATACAAAGTAAAGGAGAAAGCAGATGATAATATGAATAAGCAAAAAGTAAGACTAGTGACTTATGGTTTTGAACGAAATAAAAGAATAGATTTCAAAAGTAACTTTATTACAATTATTAAGTAGGCTACAATATGTCTTTTGGTGGCTTTGACTATACAACAAGGCTAGAAATTATTCTACTTGGAAGTGAAGACAACCTTTCTATATGACAATTTGTAAGAAGAGGTATATATAATCTAATCCCTAGGATTTATATTAGAAGGATCAAAACACCTAGTATGTCACTTGTACAAAACTTTATATAGGCTGAGATAAGCTCCTAGACTTTGGTATCAAAAAATTGACACTTATGTAAAAGAATAAGATTTCCAAAAAGATAAAGGAGATTACAACTTATATATCAAAGCCAAGGATTATAAGATCATTCTACTTGTCTTCTATATTGATGATCTATTTTTCACATGAATTTTTGATAAGTAGATTGCATGATTAAATACCAGTTTGAATTAAAATTTGAAATGTCAAAATTAAGCTAAATAAAAATAATTGTGTGCCTCAAAATTAAATCTATTTAAATATTTGACAATATATTTTTTTATTTAGTATGGTTATGCTTAGCAAACCTTATTATTCTTTGAACTATAAGACTATGTTCTAGTCTTCATATCAATGGTGGAGAAACTAAAACTAGTTACAAATTTGAACATGCTATATATTGACTCAACATAATATCAATCTCTAGTAGAAAAATTGTTCCATCTTTGTCACAATTCCTTCAACATTAGTTTTATTGTTGAATAAGTAAGTTGCTTCATGTCACAACCTCAAGTACTACAAATACAAGCTGCAAAATTGATATTGAGATATATCAACAAAACTTGGAAGTACTACATTTTATATAAATAGAAATTCATCACAAAATATCTTGGGATCTATAGATAGTGACTTTGGAGTGATCTTAGAAGCAATAAGATTGACAACAAGATTCATTTATTTAGCCTACAAGAAAATCCAATCACATAGTTGTTAAAAAAACAATCATCAATTATGATATTTTTTTTTAAAGTTGAATATATAGAGATGTCATCAATAACTTGCAAATTCTCATGATTGGAGATGCTTGGTCACAACTTAGACATAACAATAACCAAACCAATGGTAATCCATTGTGATAATAAATCTCCTATAAAGATGACAATAACATACAAATCACATTGTGTCCAAAATACATTGTAGCACATTTATATTATACAAGAGAAAAGATTGACAAAAGAAACATTCAACTCAAATATATACTATCATTAGAGCAACTTGTAGATTTATTTACAAAGTCTTTCAATAAAGGTTTATTTGAAAAATATCAATATTGTCTCAACTTACATTATTATAATAATGTAGCAGGGCTTCTACATAAGAAGTACAAAAAATAAACTATTTAAATTCCATAATCAAAATTATTTTCTTTTAGTTCTTAAATTAGATTCTATAGTACATGAATTTTATTTTTTCTTACAAGCTAGTAATAATATTTAAAAGGCAATCCATCTGAATCTATAAATAATTATTAAGCTTCTTATATGCTTATTTTAATATAAAAATTCTATTTTTCATGATCATCTATCTATTTTTTCTAAGCCCTTCAAAAATCTCATAGAAAAAATAATAACTAATAGAGATCACTTATATCTTTCACACTCTATATCAACTTAGGCCAAATTAGAATATTAACCACCCAAATACATCATCTATTCAAAAATAAATTTTTATCTTTAACTCCACCACTACCTCTTCAATTGATATTTCTTCAAAAGCTTTGGTGCTCATTTTCTTATCAATTTTGGTTGCTAACAAGTTAAAGGTGGTATAGTCTTCAACTTCGATTATCCTAATTGCCAATAAAGAAGAGGTTTTGTATGGAGTCACTGAAATAGTGGTGGCAAAAGCATAACAATTAAATATTGTAGGAGACATGACAAAAGAATTGAGCTTACAAAAACACATGACAAAGAAGTCAAGCTAATGAAAATCCATGACAAAGAAATCAAAATTACAAAACCTAGGGTTTCATAGGCATCTAAAAAATCAAAGGACTCCAAAGCATAGTCATAAGTTTCCAAATAAGAAGAAAATTCAAAGAAATGTCAACATAAGCACTTTCAAACCAAAGATGCACAAATATAAGAGAAACCAAAACACCACAGAATACAAAAAAGAAAAAACAACAACAACAACAACAAAGGAACTCACCACCATCAAAGAATTGGAGAAGGGATACAAAATTGGAACCCTTCTCTTTGATTTAAGTTGACAAAAGCATCTATAGAATATTGATGGCATCAATAGAAGGAAAAACGAAGAAATAACTTTGTAGTAAAAGGGAGTGTTGGATAAACATAGTGCAGCCTCTGTTTCTATAGGATTAAGAAGACCTAAACGTAAATTACAGCAATGAAATGATATATATAGTATGGTCTCAATGAATAATACAAGTTGTGTGGCTACAATGATATTACTGGTGACTCCCATTTGTGCATCTTGTCACTTCATCGTGTCACTTCTTTACAGTGTCACTTATTTAATAAATTCACTTAACCATTCTAATTACAATGGTTCACTAATTTTTGTTATCTGAATCCCTGAACATACATGTGCGCTTCGTCAATTTTTATGATTGACTCTGTCCTTGGAGAAGTCGCGAGTTATGGAAAATGGTAACAAGAACAAGGCAGATGCACGTGACCACAACTGACAAATGATTCGGCGAACTGATTCCTTATCCAGGCCCTAATCTTGACTACTAAAGACAGCAGACAACATCACAATCTGCATGAGGATCTGCCCAGGAACCAGGGATCATTATTCTAAGCTGTTAGTCTCACTTCTTAATGGGGAATGCACTTGCATTTATTCTAGCAGATGATTCCCCCACAAATCATTCATTTCCCCTACAAACAGCCAAGTAATTGTACCATCTAGTACCTACATTTGTCGTGACTACAGATGAGCACCAAAATGCAGTCAGGAAACTGTAGTTGAGCAGCCCAATTCATGACACTGAGATAACCAACCACTCAACATGTTATACCTTTATTCACATTGGGAAAAGAATGTCGAGTGCTACTTAATAAAAAAAAAATAAAAAAAAACTATCGTAATTTCTGGAGCTGCACGGTTCTGTTGATCGCCAGGAACCATACAAGATAAGCTCGCATGTTCATGATACACACAGAAGCGAGGGAACCAACAAGTTTCTTCGTCATGGGAGCTCATAAGAATCGCTACTATCTTCGTGTCGTGCAATACCCCCGTCGCACACGATCTGTTGGTTCGTCTCATTAATCTACGCTGTTGCTACTGCTGCTAATGCTGCTGCAGAGCCGCCTTCCCTTCTATCGGGAGGCTGCGTTTAATTTTTTTGCAACTGGAGGCTAATTATCTACGTGCTGACGCCCGCCATCTTGTGCAGTTATAGCTCGTAATGCGTGGACAGGACAACTCGACGAGGTGCACCCTTCTAGTGAGTAATCGAGTTTGCACTCGAAAGAAAGAAGAAAAAAAAAACCTCTGACGTAGTCGGTCAAGTCTACGAAGGAGCGTTACCATCAGACAGTTGAGAAACGCGATGCAACAGATTCTCAATCGTGATGTCGAAAGCATCCCTGTAGGGAGAGACGTCACTACCAGGAGCGCCATACAGCAACCCTGGAACAATGGTTTTGATAATGGTCTCCCGCATGGCATCCCTCTCATGATTTGGAATCTTCTTGAGAATCTCGACGACGTTAGCAGTGCCCTCCTTGACGTCGTCTTCCGAAATGTACACCGACCAAGAGGTTTCGTTAGCAGGCAAGTGCCAGAGGTACTGCACGTGAGCGGTGCAAGGGTGAAACAACACAGGGATACAGCCTGTGATTAGTGAGTCGAATACAGAGCGCCTTGTCGGGGAGTCCCCAACAGGCTGCATGCAGAAATGCGTCGACAAGAAGGCCCCGTTAACATAAGCGGGATTCTGGCAAAGGTTGTTGTCGCACTCAACTATGCGGCAGTCTGCCTCCGAGGACGCATTGCGACATTGCTCAATAAGCTGTTGCCGCACGTTCGTTGTCCCGGGTCGCCCTTTCCCGACGAAGGTCACGAGGCTGAAGCGTTCCTGTGATCTGATGTGGTTGAGCCAGGTATCTATGTCTGCCGCTGACTTAGGATGAAAGAACGTCGGGTGCGGCGCTGCAATTTCTTTTTTTACCCAGGGGTTGCGCTCAATGAGCACCTTTGTCACATTCTGTGTTTGCGGAAGCTCAAGCATGCTACTCCCCCAAGATCCATACTTCAAGTTGCGATGGAAATCCCACGAGATTTTTCCCAGAACCATAACGTGGTCAAAGCCTCCTCGGCGGGACCATGACGGTTTTTGCTCCAGCCAGCTGAGGAGCTTCCACGTGAGCTCATCCCGTTTCTCATTGGTGGTATTCTTAGCAAAATGCCACCGGATCACATCAAGACCAGCGTAGAAGGGGATATAGAACAGGGATGCTTGGTCCGGATCCTCAGTGAGACACTTGTACTTCTTAATGCGCGCGTGAGACACGAGCTCCAGCGCATACTGGTGCGTATTGAACCAGCGGTCCGCTGGAACCATGATTTGTTTGCCATCACTTGCCGTGTTAACAGGTTTACCGATGCCTGAGTCGACGAAGTAGTCGCAGAGGTTAAACCATGGGAACAAAGAGTCGCACCGAGCGGCAATGTCGGTATTGAACTCCGGTGGTAGGTCGTAAACGTAAACGTACTTCCCTTCACAGCTCGAATCCGCTTGATTTTCGTCCTTTCGGGTCGAGTACGCCAGTGAATGTGACCTGATGTTGTCGGCGATGCGCCGCAGCGCAATGTTGGGAGGCGAGCTGCGATTTCCTGGTTTGTCTCCCTCATTGCGGAACGGTCTTATGTCAGCCTCCTTGAACCATGCTTCGGTGCTCTCAGCAGATGGTGTTGAGACCTGTTCTGTCAAACTCGCGTCATTCTTTGGCTCAGTCGCTGCGTGAATCTGCTCTCCCTGGGACCCGGGGACAGGATTCTGATTCTGATTCCATTCGTTCTTCTCTTCCAATACCGCCCCATTGTCAGGCGATTGAGTTGAGTTCACTCCCTCCGAATTCTCCTCGTTTTTCGCTTCAATGACTGCAGGAGTTTCTAGCCCCGGTGTGGTGAATATGGGCTCCTGTTTCGTTGTCTTGTGCTCCTTCCATTCTTGATCATTATCATCTGATTGTGCAGATTCCACTGCGACCAAACTTCCCTCGTTCTTCTGCTCTGAAACTGAAGGATTCTCTACTTTCGGTGCTGCAAGTACAAGCTCTTCGCTCCGCTCTTGGAGACTGTCACTAGATTGCAAAGGGGTATCAGAGTCCTTCTGAACTTCCTCGTTCTTTGACTCGGTAGTTGCAGGCGTTTCTCCTTCAGATGAGGTTGAAACGGGCTCCTGGTTCGTAACCTCGCCATTATCTGTTGGTTCTGTTGGGGCTTGTTCTTCCACATTCTTATCGTCATTGGCATTTGGTGCTACGTCCACCTTCTCTTCCAAGGTGGAGCTCATAAGCTCCTCAGATGTTTCAGAGACATTCCGAACTTCCTCGTTCCTTGCCTCAGTAACTGCAGGTGTTTCTTCTTCAGCTGAAGCAAAAGCGGGTTCCTGGTTTGTTACCTCAACATTATATGTAGATTCTGTTGGTACATGTTCTCCCACAGTCTTGTCGTCATTGGTATTTGGTGATACGTCCAATTTTTCTTCCAATGTGGAGCTCACAAGCTCCCCAGATGTATCAGAGACATTCTGAACCTCCTCTTTCTTTGTCTCGGTAATTGCAGGAGTTTCTTCTTCAGCTGAAGAAGAAACGGGCTTCTGGTTCGATACTTCGCCATTATCTATGGATTCTGTCGGGACTTGTTCTACCACATTCTTACCGTCACTGGCATTTGATGCTACATCCACCGTCTCTCTCAATGTGGAGGTCACAAGCTCCTCCGATGTGCCAGTGCCTACATTGTCACCACCGTGGGATGGTGTAGAGTCTTCCTTAGCTATGATGTCGTTTTCCTTAGTCTCAGATTCATCGATCTCTTCCTGTTCTAGTGTGGTGCTAACAGGCTCCTCGCCTCTGACTTCCCTTTGAACTGGAATCGTGCTCTGGCTTTCGCCAAACCACTCAGTCACTTTGACGACATCACTGATCTGATTCGACTCTTGTGAGTTACCATCTTCCATTCGACCATCCTGGACATGAAGAGTCTCCTACGATGGGTCAGAAGCGAAGCACATTGTTAGTTCAAAAATAAAGCAACAGCAATAGAAAAAACTACATCCGAACACCTCAGAATTTCTACCCGCCAAATGCCTTACTTTCGGTTGTGGACACACCCAAAACGGTTACCAGTATCCAAATTTGTTCATAAAAGGTGCATTTTGATGGTGTTTCAAAATGTGTCTCTGTAAATCGAGCATCCGAGGCTCATTACCTTAATTTCCTCAAAAGACTACTTCCTCGAAACAAACGTTCAAAAGTAAGTATGAAATGCTCAAAAAATGGAAATACCTGGTGTTGGAGGGTGTAAGCACTAAACTGGTCAGATTCTCTTGCCAAAACGCCACCATCAGGGCCAATGTTACAAGCGCTGATTCTCATGAGGTTGCTAAAAGGTGCTAGGAATGTGGAACTCGACAGAACGAACACCATCGTCATACATACGATGACAAGAAACTTCAGTCTGTGTCTCCCCGCATTACCCTTGCTGGATGGCGATGAACTGCGAAAAGAATTATACCCCATATCTGTAAAGTTATCACTTCAACGCCCAGATAATCACTAGCACCCTTCACGCCCGGTTAAGTGCACATCAGTACTGCTGCATCCGGTGATTTATGAAGTGAATCTCCCGCACACTTATTCAGTTTGAAACACGTTCCAAGTTCCAGCCGCTCCTTCCCATGGTATCTACGAGGATACCGGACTGAATTCATGCACTCGCGACTGCAGTAATAGTTTAAAATCTAGAATTTTAGATTAGATGACAACGTAACCGCTGATGAATTCACAGCAACTTGTTCCTCCGAGGATCTCGAACACAGTGGTGATCTCTTTAGGTTCAAAGCATTCCAGAGCAACCCTCCATAAGATCTTAAAGTATTATTCCTTCCATCATCTGCTGCAACATGCAACCAAAAACTCCGTTAACCACATTGAATAAAACATTTGCGGATCCACGTAAATGTATCTCATCGCACCTAGGAACATTTTGGATAACTCCTATGGGCTTGGGCCTGTCTCGAGGGGTTGGCGGGCACATTGTTAGAATATTAGGCATTGAAGACGCAACATGCGACCTGTTAAGAGATCCATCAGCTCTTAAGACCCCTACCTCGAGATCCTTACTGCATCGGCGTCAACCAATGTACCCGCTCGTACTTAAAAAGTAGCGTTGTAGTTACACGCAAACTATCTAGATGATACTGCAACACTGAGGACAACCACGTGACACAACTGATACCAGCCACAACCTCCCCGTTTACAACCTAGCTGATCACTCAACAAACACCCACATTACCTCCAGGAATGCAGGCAACGAAAAACCACCAACCTGTGCCTGCAAACCCACACCCAACCCGTCGATTCGTTAGACGCACCTGTAGGAGAACCACCTCCTGAAGCTCAAACCCGATGACCAGTATGATCGAAGCTTGTACATACAGTTGGGCTGGACACACTTAGGGTTTAACTTGGAGACCACACAGACAATATTCTAGCCGTAAGTACAATTGACTAGAGCATTGTCTAGCATTTTTTAATGCTAGTTCAGCGCCTGGCGTCACAAAATTCCGATAGCCGCCAGGCGCTGAACTAGCCTTAAAAAATGCTGAGCGCCGTTGAACACCAACAAGCAGGAACGCGATCCCCTCCTTAATGGAGACCGCATACCTCAATATAGTAGATGGGTCATGCATGTCAAGCAGCGGAGTCCCAAAGAGCGTGGGTCCCGGTAGAGCCAGAAGAATCTCCTGGACACGCGACCGGCGAATTTAAATCCCGCGCTGCGAAACCTGGCTCCGCGAGTCGTCCATGACACCGAGCCTTCGGAGTTGAACACCACCGAGTTTCCCGGTCTTATCACTGCGACAGCTTCCCTCTCCTGTTGTTAAGAGATCCACCTCGCGCGGCAAAACTCACTCCGCAAAACAACAAACAGTGTGTGCAACTGTCGGACGCTATGGTGGCCTTACTTGAGCTGACACGTTAGGTGCCATGTACACGAAAATTCAGCCGCAAGATGGGTTCAGTTTCTAGTTTCTTCTGCTTCTTCTTTTTCTTCGCCATCATACACTGTTTCATCTACTTACTCAGGACCATGTGTGATGAAATTGGTTTACAGAGGGTGTAGATGAAGGCCAGCAGCAACTGTACAAGTACAAGGGGTAACTATTAGATATTGTAATATAAGTGATGCATAATACCAATATGTAATTATAATTGGGATTGAAGCCAAGAATCAAGTGAATTTTGGTGCTTTCTAAGCAGCAACTGTACAAGTACAAGGAATAACTATTAGATATTGTAATATAAGTGATGCATAATACCAATATGTAATTACAATTAGGATTGAAGCCAAGAATCAAGTGAATTTTGGTGCTTTCTTTGGCCTCCTAGTGTAGTGCATGTTGAATTTGCTGAGCAACATTATCCGTTATAAGATGGGATGGAATCAAAAGGTGAAGGATCTTAACAAATCTTTGGCAGACGTTGAGCATCTCTTTGGATGTCATTTCTTGTTCTACTTCCTCTAATTCATCACCATTATTTTCATTTTCTCCTATCATTTCAACAAATTCTTCATCTATGAATTATTCATGAGCAATTTCTTCTTCTATAGGATTAATAAGCACTTTAATAAACATTGAGTTGCAAATGTTTAATTATTGTATTGCTGAAGCTAATTCATCATCAATAATTGTATCTCCAAGGTTGCCTTTTTTCATTTGCGATGCTTGCACTCTCGAATAAGTTAGTATGATCAAAGTAATTACTAATGATAGTTGTAGGCATACTATTCCATGCAGCATTGTTCCAATATATTGCAATCAATTGATTGACTTTGTAGATACCAACTTCCTTAGCCTTATCCTTATCAATTGCATCATAGAATTAGAAGCAACAATGATATTTTTTAAAGCTGGTGATGATTCCTACATCCATTGGCTAGATTTTCAAGGTAGTGTTTGGTAGTAGAAACAATACCTCAATATTCAACAGTTCAATATTCTCCAAAATATGCAAAGATGTGTTATTGAGAAGAAATAGAATCTTTTGATTTTCATTTGTTTTTTTATTATCAACTTTCTTTAGCCATCCCTAGAACAATTGATTGGTCATTCATTTTTTCTTTTTTCTTTTTTTTCTTTTTTTGCATGGTAATAAAAGTCAAGTTGTTTGCTAATTTTCTATCGAAAATAGTGAGGTTTCCATGTATGGCCAATGTAAAAGGGATCCAGCTTGTTTGAGCCATCTATATTGGTAATTAAAGCAATAGTAATCCTTGACTTATCTTGTTTTATATCCACAATCTCGCAAGCAACAATCATTTTATTAGGCTAAAGGTGATTAAACAACCTAGTTTCATCCATGTTGTAAATATTTTGCAAAGCATATTGCTTAATCTTTGCTTTCAGCTCTAGAAGTGATGCCTCAATTGCAGTAGTATCTACAAAAGTACCTTCACCATGCAATTTAAATGTTTGGAATTTATATTGCTGCTTGAGCTTTTACAACCAACCATTGGAGAATGTTGGAAGATTTACAATGCTTAAAAGAATTACAAATTTAGTCCCTTTTTTTCTTGTATTATCCCATTGGTGAGTATAATACCCTGATACTAACAATGGAGTACATAATTAGCCAATACTTCATCTGAGTATGAATATATTGGAAGTTGTTGGTATTTTGTAAAAAGTGTAGACATGTCGAGGCTTGCATATTTGTTGCACTTATTGAGGATTGAATTGATAGTGCTCTATGATAGAAATTTTTGAAAATTAAAATTATTTAATTGAAATTATTTGTTGTCCATGCTACAAGATCCTTCTGATTCATCAATAGATTAATTATCTTTTTCCAGCAGACTTTGAGCCTTTGAAAATTAGTAAGTATCTTTGACGTGTTGAATAGAGCATTGTGGTAAAAAAGAATGAGAGAAAAAAAATGAAGTATTGAAATTATTACCATACAATCAATGCATGCCAACCTTAATTCTAGTTTAAATACTAAAAAATGAATTGGTTAAAGTTTTAAGATCATCTTATAACAATGTGCATTTTTAAAATTTTATTGTTTTTTAATAAAAAAATCTATTATAAATTATTTAATAAATTTATTTTATTATATTATTATCACAATATTGGTTACAAAATTGAATGTATTTTTTATAATTAGAAAAAGATAGATTATCTTATGGTATTACAAATCTAACAAAATTACCTAAAACATTTGATATGTTATTTATGTAAAAAAAATTAAATTAAAAAATATATAATTGGATAATCATGGTGATTTACCTAACATTTCATTATACCACATATGATATCTTAACATCTATTATATAGATTTCATTGCTTTGTATATGAAGGTCAATATTGTGCAATTTAAGTCGATTTATAGTTACAATTGTTGGAAATAGGGAGGCCCTTTCTTTTTAAATTTTTTATTTCAATATCTAATTTTTTATTTTTTATAATTTACTACAAAAAAAATATGCTAATTTTTTACATATGTATATACATACATTATTTTTCTTTTATCATTTCATTTTTATTTTAACAAATATAATGTGAGATATTTGTTATAAGGTAAATTTTCAATAATTTAGTGTCTAATCTAACCTTTATTTTAAACTATATAGATGTATAATTATATTTATAATCTTATTTATCTTTATATTTTAATAGAAGTAAGATATTAGAGACTTATAACAAAGAAATTAGTAGTTGAAAAGTAGCAAAATCAATACTTAGGTTCATTTTGTATGTTTAGATTATTTCTAACTAAACTTTTCAAAACAAATATTGTAAGAGATTATGTTTTTGCAATAGAATTTATAGTTACCAATTTTGAAACTTTGATAACATTTTTGGTTACTGGTTGTTTATTTATTTTATAAAAAGTCCAAATATTGGAGGCAAGGATTTCTTTTATTTATTTATTTACATCAAGGTTTGTAATCAAAGTTATACTGAGATTAATGTTGAATTTGTCTCCTTATTTTTGGATTTTATCATACATTTTTATTTTAATATTTGGTGCTTTTTAGTCTTTAATATGCTTTTAGATTTGTTTTTTCTATTTTTTTTCAATACCATACTTGTTGCTTTGTAGTCCAATTTGTCTACGATATTAAAGATTTTTTAAATGATTTTAATCAAAAAATTATACTTTACACCAAACATACTGTTATTTAATGTCTTTATGTGTTAGAAGTTCTTGATCAATGAGCAAGGATTTCAATCATATAAAAAAAACTACATTATTGTATTAAAAACATAAAAAGTTTTTATGAAATTAATTGTTTTTTTATTAATTAACTAAATATTAATAAATAAAATATCTGTAAAAAAAGTATGAAAATTTTCAAGAATAAAATTGTATAGGAAAACATCACTTGTTGATTCTGTAATAATAATGAATCCAATTCATAAAAAGTTTACAAATTTTAAAATAAGAATCAAAGAAATTAATTGTACTTTCATAAGAGATATGATTAAAAAAATAATCATATTATTGAATTCTATTAGTATAAAAATAGTAAAATAGTTTATTTTCATTATATTATTATGGAAAAACATATTTAATAATATCACAGAATATTAAGTAATTTAAGATATGATCTTAGGTTTAATAATTAATTCAAGTAAAACATGCATTTGAACATATCTTTATTTTTTAATAGAATAAAAAAAAAATATATATATATAATAGAAAATTAATAATTTTAATTCACAACACATGTAGTATTGTTATAATTTAGTTTTTGTAACATATATATATATATAATTGATATTTTTTTATTATTTTTCTTTTATTTATTTATTATTTAATATTATTATATTTAGTAATATTTTGAACTTCTAATTCTATTATTTTTTCATGTGCATATTTTATTTTATATTTATAGTTATTTTATAATTCAATTTTTTAAGTATATATAATAAAATAAGAATATAATTATTTTTCTATAACATTATAATAGTTTTTTTTTTTACATATTTATATAAGGTTAATGTATATATATATATATATATATATATATACATACATATGTATACTCAAATTTAATTTAAATCTTTAATGTTTTGGAGCATATTTTAGGAAGACATAAATATATATATATATATATGTGTGTGTGTGTGTGTGTGTGTGTGTGTTTTTACTACCAATTTTTATTATTATTATTAGTTACATATGAATATTATTTATTAAATGGAATGATTAAACTTTGAAGACATCCACAAGTTTTACTATTACCACCACAACCACCTATCCACCAAATGTCACCTTATTTAATATTTTTAAAAACACTCAAAAAATCTGAATTCAATACTTTTCAAATCATTTGATCAAAAAAAAAAAAAAAAAATGAATACATATATATATATATATTATTATTATTTTGTTGAGTGGGTGGTAGGTTTTGGTGGCAGTATAAATTGTGGTGGCATTAGCAATACTCTCTCTCTCCATACTATAAATTTTCATTTCATGTATGTGATCTTACTATATATAT